TGGAGCTCTCTCATCGGGGATTAGGAACTTTGGGGTCAACTGGAAGTTTGCCCCCTCATTCTCAGGTGAGAAACCAAACTATTCAGGGTGAAAATTTCTCCCATGGGTCCCTGAAGCACCTAAGGTATAAATTTCCCTAGTGGATTCTCAGCCAAGGCATAGGTCAATCCAGATAGAAGTCCAGGTAAAATCTTTCTAGGGCTCTACTGCAACATCTATGACACCCCAAAAGGAAATCTAGACTCATCTGAAGATAGAACAATCAGGCTTAGCTCATAAAGAAAAAAAAATTCAGATGAATCCTAAACATTCACAGGGCTCTGAAGAAGTGACTAGATACTTGGGGTTGATTGGAACCAGCCCCTCAGATCCAGGATGAGGTGTCCAGGGCTTGGGAGCAGAGCATCCTCTTTGCAACAATGAGGCAAAGAAGGAGAAACAACCTAACTCTTCTGTTCAGAGGCTGGGCTCCGCTAAGACTGAACCCAGTCCATATAATGCCAAAGCGAGGGTTTTAGTGGGAGAGTCTTACTGCGAGAGGGTGCCCTTGACTCTCCTGGGCCTAACAGTTGTTTATCCTTAGGAAACTCATCCAGGATCCAAGGTGCAGATTCCAATCATTCTCAAGTGCTTCATACATTTTTAAGATCTTCACATATGCTCAGGAATTACTTGAATATGCTTTCTTTTTCAGCTAAGCTGGCTTGTCTTACCTTTGGGTGAGTTTGGGCCTCCACGTAGATTTCCCTTCATGTTGGTAGGAATCCACTGGAGAAAAATTAAATGACCTAAGAATTTCAGGGACCCCTCCACAGATTTCTGTTAGGGCCACCATTTGGACTACTTTGTGGGTTGACATGGGATCAACTGAAAGAAATGTATGGGTTGCCCGATTTGCTGTGAGAATCCATAGAAGAGGGGCAGCTAGGGGGCGCACTGGATAGAGCACCATCCCTGGATTCAGGAGGACATGAGTTCAAATCCGGCCTCAGACACATAACACGTCCTAGCTGTGTGACCCCATTGCCCAACCAAAAAACAAAACAAAAACAAAAGAGAATCCAAAGAAGAAAATTTCCACCTAGAACAGTTTATTTTCTCTCTCTCTCTCTCTCTCTCTCTCTCTCTCTCCTCTCTCTCTCTCTCTCTCTCTCTCTCTCTCTCTGTCTTTCTCTTTTTTTAAGGCAATTGGGGCTATGTGACTTGCCCAGGGTCACACAGCTAGTAAGTGTCAAGTGTTTGCTCTGAGGCCAGATTTGAACTCAGGTCTTCCTGACTTCAGGGCCAGCATTCTATCCACTGCACCACCTAGCTGCCCCCAACAGTTTATTTTCCCACCAGAAGAAGAGGGGCAACTTTTAGTCAAGCAAAGGTTCTTATTAATCTATGCTGGTAAAACTCCATGTGATGTGGAAGCTCATTTGGGACCAGACTTTCATTCTGAGAAGGAAAGATTGGTTTGTTTGTTTTTTAAAAATATTTTACTTTTTTTTTTCTAGTTGTTTCATTTGGGGCAGACCCCCATAAGTACTAGGTAGGTGGTGACCTATTATAAGGTTTGTAAAATGTTAGTTGGTTGTTGAATTTGCATAATTTCGTATCTGATTAGGTAATTGTAAGCTCCAGACCCATCAGCAATGGTAGGCCTGACCCATGTAAAAGACTGTTAATTGTGGGATTATCTATAAGCTATGCCAAATGGGGGGCAGCAAGGTGGTGCAGTGGATAGAGCACCAGGCCTGTAGGCAGGAAGACTAATCTTCCTACGTTCAAAGCCATCCTCAGACACTTGACTAGCTTTGTGACCCTGGGCAAGTCACTTAACCCTGTTTGTCTCAGCTTCCTCATCTGTAAAATGAGCTGGAGAAGGAAATCAGAAACCATTCCAGTCTTTGCCAAGAAAAGCCCTAAATGGGGTCACGAAGAGTTGGACATGACTAAAATAACTGAACAACAATGCCAAATGGACTTTTGCTTAGATACTGTACATGGCATTTAGAAGACCATTAAAGAGTATTTCCTGTGTGCTCCATGGAAACGTTTTATGGCAAGGCACTTGAAAGAACAGTACTTTAGCCTCTTGGATTCCCAGAGAACTTTCTAGAACTGGGAATGTGCCAAAAGTGCCAAACATCCCAGATAATTCCATGAGGATACCAAATATTTAACTAGTGAGAGTATAATCAGAGGACCTTCCACTGTTCTGGCTAGAGAAAATCCTAGTGTGTGGAGCATGCGTGGGGAGCCAGCCAAGGAAGCATGCATGGAGCTGACCTGAAGCTCCCCGGAACACTTTCAGTGTCAAACCTGGTTCACTGATGAAGAATTTGCCTTTTTGAATGAAGAAATAATTCCCTTATTGGTCCCTTGGTTTCTTTTCTTTCCTATTCTTTTTTGGAGGCAATCAGAGTTAAGTGACTTGCCCAGGGTTGCACAGATAGTAAGTGTCTGAGGTCAAATTTGAACTCAGGTCCTCCTGACTCCAGGGCAAGGGCTCTATCCACTGCACCACCTAGCTGCCATAGTCTTTTGGTTTCCTTGACTGGGGGATTGGGTGGGAAGATGAAGAAAGAGAAAGTCAAAGAAGATTAATTACTGAGCCTGGAAGAGCCCCCTCAGTATACCTCAAAAGGAGTTGGTCTGCCTTCTGGCATTCTCTCCTATCTGTGGAGTGTGTGGACTATGCAAACCTCTCCTTAGACCTCTCCTAAGGAAGCGGGGGGGCTCCTTACCCTATATTTCCAGTAACTATGAAGGCTTCTTGAGCATGGCAATGAGCAGATGTATTGTTTAGGTCATCCTTAAAAACCTCAATTCTCAAAAAAACAAAAACAAAAACCTCAACTCTCTGGCTGCCTCTTCTGCTTTGTATTCTTTTCTCTGAACACAGGTGACCAGACAGTGATCATGAGATAAGCTATTTTCAAGAATGGCTGCCTCTGGAGTGTGGGAACTCCTGGGTTCTTCCATCAGAGTTCACTGATAACAGGAATTTTCTATAATTATGCCCTTTCAGAGAAGATGACCAGAGAAGAGCCCAAGCCATGCCTTCCCTGGCTTGCCAGAAGAAATGGACCTGGAGGGAGTTGCTCAGATAAATGCAGAGCTGAGATGAAGGTGAAATTGCTGTCTGGTGGTTTAATGATTTAAGTATGAACCTCCTGGGGAAGTATAATAAGAGTTATGGGATACTGCTTCATGTTTAAAGTCTTTCTCAATGAGTGCTTATGAGTTTTTCATGTTTTCAGCATTTTTTGTATGTGAAACATACAAACAGCTCTCCTACACCCTATACCTACATGCTGGATCCAGCTCCAGCTGATGGTTAAATTTTTATTGTGAGCATTTATACTTTGGAACACATCAAATACTACAAATCAGGGCTTGATTTATTATTTTGTGAAAGTGATGGAGAAATGTTAATAATGCCGATTAAGCTTAAAAGTGTGTCATGGGTACATTTTTTCTTTTGGAGAGCTAATATTTTTTCAGTACAATTAAACATTTGCCTGCACATCACTGTCCATATGTAATGTACATTGAATACCTTTCTCCTATGTTTTAGGGAGACCCTACATTTGAGCCATACCCAAGCATTAAATGATTTTCCCCAGGACTCCGGGGTAGAGGTATAAAGATACAAAAACAAGAAAGGACCTAACCCTCTCTTTAGCATCCAAGTTCCCCTTTGATTTAAGCCCCTCTGAATGAGCCCACAGTTTGTGGCCCTTAGTGGGAAAGGGTGCTCTAGATCCTCTGGGCCCAATGGATTATCGTTACATTTACAAAGAGAATAGGATTGGAGAAAGTTGCGGGGGGGATGTCCAAAACTAGCATTGGAGCAGGGAAGGGAATGAAATGTCATCCACGAGAGAAAGTCTGGGGCAGGAAATGAGGAGGTTAGGTTCAGGGAGGATATTTTTTCCTTCTCTTCTACATCAAAAATGAGAGCCCAGCTCCTAGAACAAGGAAATGACTTTAGGGGAGGAGATGTGTGAATATGGCTACATCTTCTGCCTGCCTCTCAGGCCTGACTGCTTCTCATAGATGTCTTTCCACTCAGATACCTCAGAGACCCACTTGCAGTCTTTTGGGGTGGGGCAGTGAAGTGGGTTGCACTGGTGCTTTAGGATGGGTAGAGGACGGTATCCTGATAGAAATCATGAGGTTGGCAGGCTGGTGCCTTGTTCAACCTCCAGAATTTAAGTCTTTTCCTTCCCTGAGGACATTTCAATAGCTCCTCTTCCCATTCTTTCACTCCCTCCCCCAACCCAGCCTAGCTGTCCACAGGAAGAGATCATCTGCTCCCTCACTATTTAGCTCCCTGAGCTAGAGCACTACCTGAGGAAGGCTGAAAAGCTCATCAGAGCTGGTTCCTTTCTTCATGTTTATACATCTGACTTAAGTTTCACAACTGAGATCTCTTTCCCCCTTTCAGCTCACCTTGGTTTCTCTTCTGTTTAGAGTCTCAAATCCAGGCATTGCAGCCTCGAGAAATGATCAATCCCAGAGACTCAGCTAAACCCCAAAGCTGCCCAGAAATACTCTAACCTAGGGGCAGTAGCCTGGTTGTTCCAGGACACTGTGAAAACAATTGAGGCCCTAAGAAATGAAGGGTCATGCCCGGTCACTTAGGAAAAGGAGGAAAACTAGAAGCCAAGGGTCTTCGTTGCCTGCCTGACATCCTCTTCGGGGAGTGGTGAGTTCAGGGGAAGGAGGTTTTCAATTGTCTGTCTCCTAGGAGTGACCCTCCCCCCCACTCCTAGAAGGGTGATGGGGCAGATACCTCTGGCCTGAAGGCTCTCAGCGTGTCCACTTGGCACTCAACTGTGTCCTCTCCCATCCTTTTTCTCAGTTCCCTCAGCTTCATCCTAGTAGCCTGTCTGCCTTCCCCTCCCCCACATACATCCCTTACTTCCCTTCTAAGAATCCAATCTGTTACCTCACAAAGCCTTGTTTGTTTGCTTTCTCTGCCGTGCTCCCTCTGGATCCAATGTCTTTCTCTGCTACCTGATGGGCCCCAGCTTCCTCTCCAATGCTGTTTACTGTTCCTACATTGTCCCAGCCTAATATGCAGTCAGCCAGCTGTGGGGGTGAAGGGCTAGGAGGAGGAAGCAGAGAGGAAGGGGAGGAGGGAGGGAACAGGCATGAAGAAGGCAGTAATTCCAAGACGACAGATTTTCCCAAAGCATTCCTCAATACCAGTCTCTGATGTTCCTTAAGGGGCTCACTGCAGCCCTTGTAGTAGCAAAGACAACAGGGCTGACAATGACATTCGCTGCTGAGTGCCTGACATTGAACTCAGCCAGTCAGAACACAGGGTGTCTGGCTGGTAGAATTAAGTGCTGTCAGCACTAGAGAGAGAGATGGGGGAGGGGGTAGAGAATTAGGGAAGGGGGATGAAGCAGAAGCAGCCCCTTCAGTAACAGCAAGCTAGCCAGCTCCCTCCCCTTCCCTCCTTTTGTGCAAAAATGTGGTGGGGGTTTTTTTTTTTGTTTGTCAATCAAGCAGATTGTTTTTTCCTTCCCAGCAATCTGATTGTCGCTGCTGGTATAAGATAAGGGACTGAAATGGGGCCATGTGGTAGGGGTTTGAATTTAGAACCCTGAAATTAGAGGGCAGGCATCAAAGGGGGCAGAGGAAATTGTGTGAATTCATTAACCTCACCCACCTTGGACTATTCCAGGATACTACCTCCCAGCTTCCTGCTTCTCACTATATATTTGATCTTTCTGCCTCAGGACTCAGAAAGCTCAGGATGACTCCCTCTCCTCTGCTGGCAGGAGCTGGCTGTCCATTAAGTAGAAGGTTCCAGGGAAGAGGAGGTAGGATTTCCACCCTCTCACATCTACCAGTCTCTTGTCTGCTTTCCTAAGTAACAAATACATGCTCACCTCTCCTGTCTAACCATGGTAGTGGAAGGGGGTGACGGGGGAGTGGGGGAAGAGTATCAGTGGTGAAGCTACAGAAAAGACCACTTTGCAAGGGTACCATCCAAGGGAAGGAGTACAACAACCATTTGCAAACCAAACTTTTCCTGGGTTAGATCAAAATTGGTTGGCAGTCAATCTGGGCTAAAACTAGAATTTACATAATTTAAAAAAAAATAATTACAAGGCACAGGATTCCATGCCTCATTCTCTACCTGGAGGACTCACTGATCCCTTTTCTCCATGCAAACAAGGAAACAAACAAACAAAAAGCTACCAAAGACAAAACCTCTCATATTACTATCCTTGTAGATAAGATGGAAAACTGTGAATTGGATGACAGTATAGTTGAGTGGATCAAGAATTGGTTGAAAGTCCAGACTCATTAACCTGCGGGGAATGAAGTATTCCAAGGATCTGTCCTTGGTCCTGTGCTAGTCAATACATACATACATACATACATACATACATACATACATACATATATCTATCTATCTATCTATATATCTATATCTATATCTATATATTTTAATAAGTGATTGGAATGAGGACTTAGATGGCATGCTTATCAAATTTGCAGGTGATTCAGAGTTGGAAGGGATGAATCATAGAGTCAGATCCAAAAGGAACTCAATAGGCATAAACAATGGGCTGAATCTAATAAGATGGAATTTAGGAACACAGATTTAGAGCTTAAAGAGGCCTCAGAGGTCATCTACTCCAATTCCTTCATTTTATAGATGAGAAAGCTGAAGAGAAAGGAAGGAAGGAAGGAAGGAAAGAAATAGCTCTTATTAAGCACCTTCAGGCTCTGGGCTAAGTGCTTTACAAACATTATCTCATTTGGTCCCCCAACAACTCTGGGAGGTAGGTACTATTATTATCCTCATTTTACAGAAGAAGAAATTGAGGCATAGGGGTTATATAATTTGCCCAGGGACACACAGCTGGTAAATATCTGAGGCTGGCTTTGAATCCAGGTCTTCCTGGATTCTATCTACTCTGATGCCTATCTGCCTCAGGTTAAGTGTCTGGCCCAAGGTCACACATATATAGGAAGTGACAAAGCTGGGAATCATACCCAGGTCTTCTGACTCCAAATCCATTTTCCCCCACTTCACAACACTACAATGCCTCCTTAAGAAATCTGATGGGAATAAAGTCCCACACTTGGGTTCAAAAAATTAACTGCGAAAGTACAAGATGGGAAAAAGCTTGGGTAGACAACAGTTCATGCAAGAAAATAAAACAAAAAACAAAGACTTGGGGATTTTAGTCAGTCAATAAACATTTATTAAGTACCTACTAAGTGGCAAACACTGCTTAACATTAGGGATACAAATATTAGTTCATAGGATGAGATCAATTAAAAAACAGACAACAGTATAGTGTGGTAGTCACAAAGTGAATGGGATTTTGATGGGACCAGATTTCTGCTCTCATGGGCATAAGGATCTCTCAAGGATGGAATGTCATCTACCAATGCAGATCTGACACCTGATTTGTATCTTATAGTCTTAGAGAATTACCTGGGGCACCGAGAGAGAGGTTAAGTGATACAGCCAGTGTGTGTCAAAAACAGAACTTGAACCCCATTCTTTCTGACTCTAAGGCCAGCTATCCATGCAATGCACCAGCCATTCTTAAAGTATGATCTGAGGTCCTTTTCAGGGGTCCTTTTTTCATATTTTTTAAAATTTCTAGTTCAGTAAATATCAACAGGTAAAATCCATAAAAATAAAAGCTCTATATTTAGGGTCCTCAATAATTTTTAAGACAGTAAAGGAACCCTGAGACCAAAAAGTTTTAGCACTGATGCTGTTTACTATCCTGCTTTTCCCTGTGATCCCAGGCAGAATGAGAGATGATAATCCTCCTGCCTCACTCCGCCTTAGCCAGACCAGATCTAAAGTATTGGGTTTAGTTCTGAGTGCTACATTTTAGGAAGACATGACAAGCTAGAGCTCCTCCAGAAGAGGATGACCAAGATAATGAAGAAACGGGAGACTATTGTGCACGAGGTTTGAAAGCAGGAACTGGAGCTGTTTAATCTGGAGAAGAGAAGACTCGGGGGGGAGGTGGGGGGAGACAGACAAAATAGCCATCCTCAGTATTTGAAGGGCTGTCTTGTAGAAGATGGATTAGATCTATTCTGTTCTGCCCTGGAGGCAGAGCTAGGAACAGTGGGTAAAAAAAAGTTACAGGAAGTCATTTTTCATGCTTGATATAAAGAAGCCTCACCAAGAAGTAGAGCAGTCCTAAAGTGGAATGAGTTGTCTTTGGAAGTAGTTGGATATTCATCCCTAGAGGATGGTTCCTTGTTGATATATTATGGAGGTATAGGTTGGAGTGATGGCCTCTGAGGACCCTTCTATCTCTGAGATTCTAAGATACTACCCTGAAGCCTAAGACCTTCATGGAACTCTTTGGAGGTATAGAAATTCACATAGAAGAAGGACAAAGTTTTCATAAATCCTAGTTTTACCTGGGAATCCAAAGTGACTATTTCTTTTTGCCTCCAACCTTGGGCCTCCTTGGTTTGGGTGGATGCTAACTGTAGGAAGCTGAGACTGAGAGCTCCTTAATTGAGCTAGATGAAGACACTGGGTAGAGGTCACCACTAAAGTGACTGCCTCAGAGCCACTGTTTGTCTTGTTTAATTAGCCTATGTTCAGGGGTAGGGGGCAGGCATCACCCCTGGGGGAACAAAGCCAGAAAGGGGCTAGTCCTGTTCATATTGCACTCATAAGCCTTAGCTCAGAGCTTAGGCTTCAAGAGTGAGATTCACTCAATTAATTTTGCTTTGGCAAAAATTCCATTTTTATTGCTATTTCATGCCTTCAGTATAGATTTTTCTGTGCTCATCTCAAAGAGATAATAAACCCATTCATCTCTTGACCCCTCCTTTTATGGAAAAAAAATGCTTCCCTCTTCCTAAGCCCTGCCTTTCTCCTTCCTGCTTATTTACGCAGGTCAAGAACCAAAGGGGATAGAGTTGGACTCCTGTCTAGGGGTAAGGGTCATGCTTGCCATTCTCATCAATGCTGTAGCAGCCACAGAGGTTGTATCAAATGAACTCCTCTTTCCTTCTGAAATCCAAGGTGCAGGACTAAAGACTGCAAGGCCCAGTATGCTATGCAGTCCAACCTTCTTCACTTTGGACTAGAACACAGCACAGTGGGAACTTCTTGTAGCTTCCTAGAAGTGATCAACAGAATTTCTTTAATTCTTCTTTGCTTGCCCTTTCTCTGGAAGCCTCTTTCTACAATCATATACATAAGATTATTATAATCCCAGTTACTATAATGAAATCATTTCTACCATAGCAATGATGGTTTATATTATAGATTAAATATTAATATAATATATAATATCATATAATCAATACTTAATGAAGAAATAAAATGTGTATGATAAATTATATAATAAACACTTAGTATTTACAAAGCAGGTTCATATATTACCTCATTTGATCCTTACAACAAAGCCAATGAGGTTAGTGCAAATATTATCACCATTTTATAGAAAAGGAAAATGAGACCCAGGAAAATGAGTGACTTCTCTTCCACACACTGAACTGGTCACTGAACTAGGACTAGAACCCAGGTCTTCTGACTCCTGAATCCAATGTCCTTTCTATTTCACCATATTTCTTGCATGACCAGGAAGCGTGAGTTTCCAAAACGGCAAATCCTGGATGCATTAGTAGTCATTATTTCCAAGGTTACATTATTTTAATCTCTCTTATGTCCCCTAACTCTCTAGTTCATAGGATCCCCAGTCAGGTAAGAGTCAATTCAAGCCCTTACTCCCATACCTTTGTGACTTTTATTCTCTATATTCTTTCATGCCATTGGTGACTTTAACTCAACCTCCCACTTCCTAACTGCTGAGACTCTTCTCATCCCAATCACAGAACAGCTTGCCTGCAGGAATCCTCCCTTGATTCAGTGACCATTCAGAAAAGGATGGAATCTTTGAGGTGGAAGAGCCCATCTACTCAGACTTCCTATCTCATGCTGGAATGACTTCTATGACATCTCTGACACATGCTCATCTAACTTCTGCTTGAACATTTCCAGTGATGGAGAACTCATTATTTCAAAGGGCAACTCATTCAACTGTTGGACAGCTTTAATTGTTAGAAAGTTCTTTATTGTGAGGGGAAAATCGCCTCACTTCAATGCCCATTCATTAGTCCTGATCCTATTCCTTTGGAGCTACATACAACATCTACTCCCTCGTCAAATGGCCCCTAAATATACCCTTTACATACAGCATTACAAGCCCCTTTCCCAAGTCTTCCCTTCTTCAGACTAAGTATCCCTGGTTCTTACACTGGCCTGTCACTATCCTAGTTGTCCTCTTTTGTAATTCAAGTATATGCACATTTATTAAGCACCTACTGTGTTCCAGGTACTGTACTAGGTACTGGAGATACAAAGACAAAGCAAAAAGAATCTGCATTCAAAGAGCTTAGATTCTGAGGGTGGAGGGGAATGTGAGAGGATGATATGATACAGAGAAATAAGTACAAGATAATTTGAGAGAAAGAAGAATCAGAGGGATCAGAAAAGGCTTCCTATAGGAGGTCAAGGATGCTAAGAATTCTTGGAGGTGGAGATGAACAGGCAGGGAGTGCATTCCAAGTATGGAACAGAACCCTAGCAAATGTATAAATGAATAGGAAATAGGAGGTTTGATTCAGAGAAAAGCAGACAAGGTTTTTTGGGACAAAGTATATGAAAGGGAGTAATATGAAATATCTGGAAAGGTAGGCTAAAGGCAGACTGGGAATAACTTTATTTATTTATTTTTTGATAGTAATAATGCCTTTCTAACTTTCTTTAAAGATTTAGTTACCTCTTTAGAACCATTGCTACCTATGGGCAAGC